GTCTAATCTTAAAAGACCTTGCTTGTTTATTCCTTCTAATTTAATTTATTAAAATGGGAGATTTTTCAGTTTATTTTTATAAAAGACTTCTATAGTTCTATTAAAATGGTTCTTTCAAAAGTTTGTTGAAATAAAACCTTTGTTCAGTCAGAAAACGTGTTCTTATTCTTTTCAGGGTCTTTGCTATGAGAATTACTATTTAATACCGTATACCGCGAAACCGTCAAACCGTGGTATTGTTTTAGACGATTATCATACCGTAAAAAATTCATACCATTACAACCCTATGTGTGTGTGTGTGTGTGTTTATAAAACATGTATGCAGATGAGCCAGACCTCCTCTGCTTCCTGTCCAGCTCGTGAGCACGGCTCTGCAGGCTGTCAGTGAGCACGCGGGCATCCTGTAGGTCAGAGGTCAGCCGTCTGCAATGGCGCTTCAGCTCTGTCACTGTGCGTTTGGACTGATCCAGCTGAGACTGCAGATCCTGGACCTGCCACACGGGGGAGACACAGACACATGATCACACTGGGTTACTGAGTGCAGTGTGCAGGACAATAATAAACATCTCTCATATCTACATTTAGCTCTTACAGTTTTCTCAACTGCTTTGGCACATTTTTCGAACACACTCTTAACATTCGCTAAACTCTGAGTTTTTGCTGGAACTCCACAACTTTACTGCATGTCTGCAAAATGTAATTACTCACAACATTTCATTCATGCTTCAAAACCTAGTCATGGTGTCTGTAATTTGGCCACCAAAACCAACCACACCGCTCAAAATGATTAGCTGTTTTTCACCATGACGGTCAACCACGGATATTATTCATGCCCGTAGCCAGGGGGGGTTCGGGTGGTTCGAACGAACCACCCCCCACAGCCAAAAGGTCCAGAATTTGTCCTTTTAATTATTTTATGTAATTTAATATTATATAATATATTTATTATATAATTAATATAATATATTTATAATCAATATATATACTGTAATAAAGTGTAATTTTAAATGACTCTGGCCGGTAATTCGAGTCCCATAGAGCCTCAAAGCCACAATAATGTGACGCGAGTCACGTGACATAACCCACTGAACGGTCACATTTGAAGGTTTGATGCGACATCGCATCAACTCGAGTTACACTGTTGGTCGAAAAGAGCAAGAAGGCAGAAAAGGCAGGCAGCGGCGTCATTATCGCAAAATATTGAACATATGTTCATAAAGACTGACAAACAGGTATGGGACTTACTTCCTAACAGATGAAAATCTGCCCCTGAGGTTCTAGGCTAACTGGCCGCATTAGCTGGGATGTCCTGTATATTTATTGACTTGTCCAGTACATGACCTCCCTTTCCCTATTTCTGACATTTTTTAAATAACTGCCCGATTTACCAGCCAAAACCAGCTAAAACCAGCTTGACCAGCCTGGTTTAAGCTGGACTCCCAGCTTGGCTAGGCTGGTCAAGCTGGTTTTAGCTGGTCATCTCCCAGCCTGACCAGCTAAGACCAGGCTGGAAATGGCTGGAAACCAGCCTGGAAATGGCCAAAACCCCTCTAAAACCAGCCTGGTCGACCAGCTAAAACCAGCCAACCAGCTTAGGCTGGTTTAAGCTGGATTTTTCAGCAGGGAGAGTAACATTGGTAATTGATGTCAAGTGTAACTGATACAATTTAAATGATACAAATAACTGACGCATGACCGGGGCCAGACGGAAACTGCGGACGTTTTTTGCTATTTCTGCGGAGAATTTTGGTAAAAATCTGCAGATTTCTGCGGAATTATTTTGGGAGTATCCAGCAGAGTATCATAACTTACACCTTAAAGAGCCCATATTATGGGTTTTTGAAAATTCCCCTCCATGTAGTGTGTAACACAGCTCTAAGTGAAGTGAAGTATCCAGCTAAGGCTTAAATCTGTAAGAGTACAGTGTTTAAAACTGTTGATTCATCTATAAAAGAGTCGAATCATAGTGCTTCAAACGAGTCGCCTTGATACCGAGTCATTAGGTGTTTCGCCATGACGTACGAACGAAACCAAGTTATTCACATGTACGCGCAAACCCGGGAGATTTCAAACCTGAGGCCCCGCCCTCTGACGCAGAAACCCAGACACACACACACACACACACAAACACACACACACAAACATGCCGGTCGATTGAAGTCACACTGCAGATGGATATTATTGAGTCTCTACCCAAAGATGAAACCTCAACATTATAGCCAAGCAGTTGGAAACTACTGGAAACTACATGCTACAAAGAATACTTCATCTGCATTTGTTAAAGGAAGGATCAGTAAAGAGTAACTTACTGATGGACGTCAGGATTAGTTTCTTCCTCCATTTCTCAAGTGTAAGTATGTGCGATTAAAGTTGCCTCGTTGACTCTAGCTTGCAAATGTATTTAGTTGTGATTTGTTACTTGTAACCGCGTGTACTGTATCAGGTTAACTGGTTATATTCTCTTATCGCGTGCAAAGTCACGTTAAAAACGCGACGCGTGCTGCTTTGTTTATGGAGCTCCGTGGAGGAGTAGTGTGTGTGTGCGCGTGCGGTGTCATCCGGAGGTATATGTGTGTGTTTGTGTGTGTGTGTGTGTGTGTGTGCGCGCGCGTTGTCATCCAGAGGTGTGTGTGTTTTTGTGTGTGTGTGTGTGCGCGCGCACGCGCAAGGACGAGGGCAATGTGTGTGTGTGTGTGTGTCTCTGTGTCTGTGAAAAGAGCAGAGTGAGACAAGCTATTTGATCTCCTCTACCAATCGCAACAGACTGTCATCGGTCCAATCGGCGCAGATTAGCTTCGCGCTAAGGAGGGGTTTGGGAACAAATGAATCACTGGACGATTCATACGGGAGTCGCTGGGATAATTAGGTAAAAATAAATGCAGATTATAAGACCACGAATGTGTTTTTTGACCTTGCATGCATATTAAACTGTTGTTGGAAACCCTTACAACCAAGATATGACCCTATTTCATGTATAATATGGGCTCTTTAATATATTAAATTAACAGTTTTAAATTACTGAATAAAAACTGAATAAATTCAGATTTACACATTTACTCAAGTAAATAAACAGAATTAATAATGGGCTAAAAATCGGCAGAAATCTGCGGAAAATCTGTGGAAAATCTGCGGAATTCTGCGCGCGCAGATTCCGTGTGGGCCTACGCATGACTGATCAGTGAGTTTAGTAGTTTCATGGTAAATGGTTATAACAATTCAGAATTTATATGTGTTAATAAGAGAGTACAGAGTGTATAAGCATTTGAAGACTCCATTGTTGTAAAAAGAGAACAAAACTGTATGTTTGATAAAATGAAACATGATTTGAGAGGATACTATTACATTACATGAGTTGTGAGGCTATGTTTGCTAAAATATGACTGTTAATAAACAGATGCTACTAAGCTGTGCCTGGGGAAATATGGAGCTAGATTTGTTTCTTTATTATTCAATCAAAAATATTTAGCTTTAAAGAAAAATTAAGTATGTAGTAATTAAAAAATTAAAGATTTCAAATAAAAAAACATGTTTAATTTAAAAACTTATGTTAATGATAACAAAAATGTAATGGGCGTGGCCAACCTGTGACCTCAATCAAGATGACCAATAGAATAAGGTGTTTCATAAGATCCCGCCCACTGAGCTGCAGTTTTCAACTCGCAAAACTTTTCAACTCAAAAGCAAAGATTTTAGATCCGCAAAAATGAAACGAAACCGAAAGCAAAATGAATGAGCACACAATGAATTAATCTGGTGGTAACTGCATAAAATGGCAATAGTTTATTTTTTTGCAGTGTGATTTTTTTTAAATAAACGTTTTTTATTATTTGAAATCTTTTATTTTTTAATTACATTGTACCTAGTTTTTGTCAAAAACTTCATATGTTTGTTTGAATAATAAAGACACAAAATTAACCCTGGCATTCATGGGTTCAAAACTTTTCAACTCGTTTATTTTTTGCAATCCAAAATATTTTATTATCATTGACATAAGTTTTTAAATTAAACGTGTTTTTTATTTGAAATCTTAAATTTTTTAATTACTACATACTTAATTTTTCTTTAAAACTAAATATTTTTGATTGAATAATAAAGAAACAAATCTAGCTCCATAGTTTGCAGCTAGAAGAGCATCCTCTGCGTAAAACATATGCTGGATAAGTTGGGGTTCATTGTACTGTGGCGACCCCTGATGAATAAAGAGACTAACTCAAAGGAAAATGAACGAATGAAATTTAATACAGCATATCAAACAATGTGACAATCTGTGGACTTTCTATTTATTTTATATCTGTAAAATAGCTTTTAGAAAGTGTCTTACTGTCTGTGTGGACATTTTAGAAATTTAGATTGTTTTACATTGACATTTTAGATTGTTTCTAAACTCCACACTCACAATATTTCCTGAATTACAGTGAAAGCGATGAGGCGCAGATGCTGTGGGTTTTTTTTTTTAACCCACACAGAGAGCGTCATGTGATGAGATGGACAGCGCAATAATACTTTAAATGAACCCAGTATTATCATCTCAAACATATTAAAGAACTGATACTTTTACAACAAATTTCCAAAACATTTTGGGTTTATTTATTTTCCAAAACTTTCAGGTTTGTCAAAATTCCACGACTCTTCCATGTTTTCCAGGACCGTATGAATCCCGGTTTAAGATCATAATGACCGTAATAATGAACAGACCTTCGTCTCCAGCAGCTGCCGGCCTTCTTTCTCTCCCTCCAGTCTTTCCTCCGTCTGCCGCAAACGCCTGCGCAGAAACTCCACCTCCGTCTGCGCACACTCCAGCTGCAGCTGCAGTTCACTCTCTGCGCACACACACACACCGAAACACTCTACATAAGTGCTCCTCCAGCATGTCTGCCTGCATCTCTATGAAGTGAAATCTGTGTCAATATTTCACACACAAATCCAGCATTTTGCAAACCAACAGGATCTGCTTTGCAAAAAAATCACTCGAGTCACGACCGAACAGAAAACACTTTGCAAAAACAAAAGTCAGTTAGAAAAAAACCCGGTGGTGTTAACAAATAAACATGTTGTGTTTTACAAATATAGATCATATTTCATTAATTCAGACAATCTATCTGCATGTAACTGCATGCAGCCCTTGAACAAACACCAAATCTAGTGCAAACAGCTGAATGCCTGTGGATTTTCTCAAAAATGCATTCAGGTAGATTCTCTCACAGATGCAACCACACACATGCATTCAGTCAATTTCTCACAAACGCATCCAAACTGATTTTCTCACAAATGCATTGATTACTATTTTCTCACAAATGCACCCATTCAGGTTTTCTCACAAATGCATCTACACTAATTTTCTCACCAAAGCCTGGTTTATACTTCTGCGTCAAGTGACCGGCGTAACCCATGGCGCATGCAATGCGCGTAGCTGTGCATTTACACTTCTGCGCGCTGTCTCTGTTGGTCTGCATTAACACTTCCCAAACGCTAGTTGGCAGTGAGGTGTAAATGTTCCTCTGTGTCGAGTTTCTTCGCTACTTTTTGCTTTTCCTGAACACTTCCGGGATGTACAAGTGGCTCAAACTCGCTCATTTTGAGGCAGGAACCGGCGGACGTGCAATAACTTTAACTATGAGGTAAACACAAAACAAAACTTTCCATCCGGAGCTCCTTCACGGGACTCCACACTTGTAAACAATCGCACCATCAGACTCGCACCATTCGCGCGGCTCTCGGTCCCGCCCAGACTCGTCAGTGCTACAAAGCACAGAGCTTGCGCTACGCGTCGTTGCGACGTGTAGTTACATTTTTTGAGAGGTGCACGTCAGCGAAGGGCTATGCATCAGCGCCGTAGCATTTGACGCCGCCGTTTGACGCAGAAGTATAAATCAGCCTAAACGCATCCAGACGGATTTTCTCACAAATGCATTGATTACGATTTTCTCACAAACGCACCAATTCAGGTTCTCTCACAAATGCATTCACACAGATTTTCTCACAAATACACCTGGGCCATTTCCTCCATCAAGAGAGCAGACTGTTTGTTTGTGAGTCGAGTGACTCTTTGCAAAGCAGATCCTGTTTGTTTGCAAAACGCTGCATTTGTTTGTGTAATATTGGCACAAATTTCACTCCCTCCATCTCCGCTAAAGTCTGTCCTACCTGTGGCCACTCCGCAGAGAGCTTCTTTATTCTTTACTTTCTGCTTTTCCTCCTCTAACTGCCTCTCCAGGGCCTCCAAAGACACTTTACTCTGCTCCACACGACTCTGAGAACAAACACACACAACAGACTTAGCAGACCCTCCTGTCAAATCCTGTTTTTATATGTGTGCAGTAGTGCTTGTTATAAACGATGTATCTGTGCACGTCATTATTTCAAAAAAGTTATTTTGCCTCATAAACTTTCATCAAATACTAGAACGCTTCCTCCCCCTCAACACAACTTTCTTTTCATTCCTGATCACATGGAATCCCTTTAGGCTGGGGCTCTCAGTCCTTTAGGGCAGCGACATCAGTAAGTTAGGCCAGGGCTACGAGTCAATTAGAGCAGGAATATCGGTAATTTAGGCTGGGGCTCTCAGTCCTTTAGGGCAGGGATATCGGTAAGTTAAGCAAGGGCTTTAAGTCATTTAGAGCAGGAAAATCTGTCATTTAGGCCAGGGCTATCAGTCGCTTAAAGCAGGAATATCGGTAATTTAGGCCAGAGCTTCAGTACTTTAGGGTGGGCCTTACAGTCCTTTAGGCCAGGGCTATCAGTCCTTTAGGGCGGGGCTATCAGTCCTTTAGGGCAGGTATATCTGTAATTTGGGCCAGGACTATCAGTTCTTTAGGGCAGGGATATCAGTCCTTTAGGGCAGGACTATCAGTCCTTTAGGGCAGGGATATCAGTAATTCAGGCTGGGGCTATCAGTACTATAGGCCAGGACTATCAGTCCTTTAGGGCAGGGATATCAGTCCTTTAGGGCGGGACTATCAGTCCTTTAGGGCGGGGCTATCAGTCCTTTAGGGCGGGGCTATCAGTATTTAGGGCGGGGATATCGGTAATTAAGACTGGGGCTATCAGTCCTTTAGGGCGAGGATATCTGTAATTTAGGCCAGGACTATCAGTCTTTTAGGGCGGGGCTATCAGTAATTTAGGGCAGAAATATCAGTAGTTTAGAGCGGGGATATCAGTCCTTTAGGGCAGCAATATCAGTAATTTTGGCCAGGGCTAAGAGTCATTTAGAGCAGGAATATCGGTAATTTAGGCTGGGGCTCTCAGTCCTTTAGGGCAGGGATATCGGTAAGTTAAGCAAGGGCTTTAAGTCATTTAGAGCAGGAAAATCGGTAATTTAGGTCAGGGCTATCAGTCGCTTAAAGCAGGGATATCAGTAATTTAGGCTGGGGCTATCAGTCCTTTAGAGCAGGGATATCAGTAATTTATGCCAGGGCTATCATTCCTTCAAGGCGGGGCTATCAGTCCTTAGGATATCGGTAACTTCAGCCAAGGCTATAAGTCCTTTAGGCTGGGGCTCTTAGTTCTTTAGGGCAGGGACATCAGCAATTTAGGCCGGGGCTATCAGTCCTTTAGAGGAGGGATTTTGGTAATTTAGGCCAGAGCTGCAGTACTTTAGGGTGGGGCTTACAGTCCTTTAGGGCGGGGCAATCAGTCCTTTAGGCCAAGGCTATCAGTCCTTTAGAGCGGGGCTATCAGTCCTTTAGGGTGGGGCAATCCATCCTTTAGAGCGAGGCTATCAGTCCTTTATTGCGGGGATATCGGTAATTTAGGCCAGAGCTTCAGTACTTTAGGGTGGGGCTTACAGTCCTTTAGGCCAGGGCTATCAGTCCTTTAGGGCGGGGCTATCAGTCCTTTAGGGCAGGGATATCTGTAATTTGGGCCAGGACTATCAGTTCTTTAGGGCAGGGATATCGGTAATTTAGGCTGGGGCTATCAGTACTATAGGCCAGGACTATCAGTCCTTTAGGGCGGGGATATCAGTCCTTTAGGGCGGGACTATCAGTCCTTTAGGGCGGGGCTATCAGTCCTTTAGGGCGAGGATATCTGTAATTTAGGCCAGGGCTATCAGTAATTTAGGGCAGAAATATCAGTAGTTTAAGGCGGGGATATCAGTCCTTTAGGGCAGAGGTATCAGTAATTTAGGGCAGGGATATCAGTCCTTAATGGCGAGGCTATCAGTAATTTAGGGCGACGCCAACAATTCTTTACAGTGGGCCTATCAGTAATTTAGGGTGGGGCTATCAATCCTTTGATGGTGGAGCTGTCAGAAATTTATGGCAGGGCTATGAGAAATTTAGGGCGGCACTATCAGTCCCTTACAGCGGGGCTTTCAGTAATTTTGGGCGAGGCTATAAGTGGGGGTCTCGTTTCTATTCTGAATTTATCCAGAGAAGCAGTGACCATGTGAACAGTGTTATGGGCTAGTGGTACCTGTAACTCCTTGCTCTCTTTGGCGAGTCTCAGTCTCTCAGTGCGCTCTGCGTCTAAAGCTTGACTCATGGCCTCTCCTCTGAACCGCTCATCACTTAACTCTGATATAACAGCTGTTACCTGCACACATTAACAAACACACATTACACAAATGTACACATACACACACATATTAACACAAGAGCACATACATTAATACACACACACACAAACAAATACATGCATTCACAAATATGCACACATACATATTAAAAACATGCACAAACAGACACACACACAAACAAATTAACATGCATGTGTACACATGCATACACGAAGACACATGAAGACCGTGCACACACACACACACACTAATGTTACACACAAACACACATACGCAAAAACACATGCAATCAGATACGCGCGCACACACACACACACACATACATCATGTCATCTATCAGTGTCCCAGTAAAGGAGCTGTTCATCCATCAGCAGCTCTCCTCTGACAGAGATTAGCGCTTCATGAGCCGATCACTAGAGAGCGTGTGTGTGTGTGTTTGTGTGTGTGTGTGTTAATAAACTTTGACCGACAAGAACTCATGTCTAGTCATCCATCACTGTGATCTCCGGCTGCGAGGAAATCTGATTCTGCGCTTTCTGATTTAACTGCATCATTTCACACGTGCCTCAATGTCCACAAACACACACACACACACACACACACACACAGACACACAGACACACACACACACACACACACCTTGGTCTCCAGGTTGTCTGCAGTCTGACGCAACTCGTTTCGCTCCTTCTCCGACTTCTCCAGACGACGGCGCAGAGCTGTGATCTCATCCTGAACAACACAACAACAAACACACAACACTGATGCACAACTTCACAATACACACCACACTAACCTGAGGAACAACTTCACAACAGATAGATGATAGATAGATGGACAGACAGACAGACAGATGATGGATGGATGGATGGATGGATGGATGGATGGATGGATGGATGGATGGATGGATGGATGGATGGATGGATGGATGGATGGATGGATGGATGGATGGATGGATAGATAGATAGATAGATAGATAGATAGATAGATAGATAGATAGATGGATAGATAGATGGATAGATGGATAGATAGATAGATAGATAGATAGATAGATAGATAGATTTGTCTCTGTGGTATAGCTCTGGAGTACAGTGTGAGCGTATCCTTTCTCAGTACCTCTTTAGATCGGAGTCTCTGGTCGTACATGTTGACGTTCAGCAGGGGGAGAACTGTGCACAGCAGCTTCCGCCAGCTCCAGCGGGACGCCGCACTGAGCACCCGCACATTTCTCTGAACACACCTCACTGCCATCTGCTGAACCTGATCCCAGAACAGCTCATATTACACACACGCATGCAGGACACAGCTCTGTACACACTGCTCATGAGTTAAAGCTGCACCTAACTGCAGGTTTGACAAACAATGCTTATAGGCAGGGTGGGAATTATACATCGGTCAACCTTTTTGGTGATGTTTCATGTGTAATACATGCTTCAGTTAATCAACTTCATGTGTTTATTTTAATTACATTAATTTAAATATTTAATT